CATGCGTCCGAAGAGGTCGACAGGCAAACAGGGCGCATCCAGTTTGGTTTAGGCCGCAGAACAGGGTCTGCTTCGCTGTTCAGTGCAGATGGTCTTAAATTGTTAATGAAGTTTTGAATTTTTAAAAGTTTCACGGGATATTTATATATCGCTGGCCGCCTTTGGGCCTTGCAGCTTGGTGGGTAATAAATGTATTAATACTATACAGTGCTTTCCCTATCCAAAGCGATTTATAAACATTAGAGGAGCGCTTTTATTCCTGCTCAGCTAATAGGAAGTGGTGGGTAGAGAACGCAAGGGCAATTCTGTACTCACAGCTCGAGCGCTTGTGCCGCAGACCTAGTTCCACACCAACTTAGTAAAACCCAGGCGAGGTGAATCGGTACAACCAAATGTAAGCTCAAACTGTACAGCTATTGCACGGGGACGGTCAAAGCAGTCTGCTTGGGTTTAATCATCATTCCCTCATCCCGAAGAGGATGGCAGCATTCGCTCGCCTTGTTAAGTCTTTTGAGCAGCTCTTGATTGACTTAAAGAGAGCGTCAGAACGAGACCTCGTTGGTGCTAATTGTGATAATGGAAATCTCAGAATACACGGGGAATTCACCTAAATCATCTGGATTCACTCTGCCAGGGCCCTCAGGATGCCCATGAGAGGGTGAATAATTCAAGCCAGTGCTATCCTAGGCTAGGCTGAAGCAGAACCTGGGGAAGGACCTCTCTGCACCATCTCTTTTTGCTCAGCTGTTGCCTCTTTCATCAGCCAAAGCTGTGCAGGATGATTTTCAAGCTCCCCGTCACACTAGGGTGCATGGTGACTGTATAAGGAGATAGCCTGAAGGCAGCAGTCCTCCCCGTCTGATTAACTGGAGGGGCTGTATTGATAAGCTGGAGACTGAGTGACAAGAGCAACCACTGTGAGTGGAATAATTATTCTATTACCTCTCTCAAGGACTAGGTCTGATTTAATTATCCCTTCCTGGTGAGGAGGAGGGAGTCAAAGCAGGACCCTGGAGATGAAGTGTGGACCTGGTGGTGGCTCAGACACCAGCACATGTTTTTAGGCAGAGAATAAGCAGGGTTTCTTTAAATAAATATATTCTTTTCCTGTTAGTGTCTCTGGTAGATCCTCCCAAGCATTTCATTCTCGGTCTTCTCCTTCAGTACTTCTACGATGGGATGGACATAAGCAACTTAGCAGTGGACTTTGCTGTGGTTTGGAACGGGAACTTTGTTATTGACAACCCAGAGGACCTGAAAGGTAACGTCTGCGTGAGCTGGCTTTCCAGCCACGGGAAGGAGGGCAGGGATGGGGGCTGGGAAGGGGCTGGTGGGGCAGAGCGGCGTTAGCCACCCTCACTGCGGCCGCAGCCGGTCCCGTTGTGGTCCCGGTGGGTCCTGCTTTGGGTGAGAGCAACTCACCCTGCTTCACTGATGTTGGTGCTCGCCAAACACCACCGATACAGCCTTGGCTTTGGAAACCACACGTGCAGGTCCGCTCTGAGTGGGAACTCAACGCGCGCCTTTGCTGTAAGTCCAAGAGCAGCTGTAGCCCACGTGGCTATCTCAGTTCCTGGCTTTGCCCTGAGCGCCCGTCCCCCCTCTTCCCGCAGTGCACCTCTACAAATGCGCGGCCCAGCGCGAGAGCTGCGGGCTCTGCCTGAAAGCCGACCCCAAGTTCGAGTGCGGCTGGTGCAGCGGCGAGGCCAAGTGCACCCTG